AAATCTTACACTTTGTACTAACACAACTGTTTAGTACCTACCAAATCTTACACTTTGTACTAACACAACTGTTTAGTACCTACCAAATCTTACACTTTGTACTAACACATCTATATAGTATCTACCAAATCTTACACTTTGTACTAACACATCTGTTTAGTACCTACCAAATCTTACACTTTGTACTAACACATCTATATAGTATCTACCAAATCTTACACTTTGTACTAACACATCTATATAGTATCTACCAAATCTTACACTTTGTACTAACACATCTGTTTAGTATCTACCAAATCTTACACTTTATACTAACACATTTATGTAGTACCTACCAAATTTTAAACTTTGTACTAACACATCTGTATGATACCTACTAAGTATTACCAGTTTGTATTAACACATACTGTCTGTATAATACCTACAGGTCTTACCAGTTTGTATTAATACATACTGTCTGTATAATACTTACATGTATTACCAGTTTGTACTAATACATCTGTATGTTACATACTAAGTATTACCAGTTTGTATTAATACATACTGTTTGTATAATACTTACATGTATTACCAGTTTGTACTAATACATCTGTATGTTACATACTAAGTATTACCAGTTTGTATTAATACATACTGTCTGTATAATACTTACATGTATTAGCAGTTTGTACTAATACATACTGTTTGTATAATAAGTGTTAGAGAAAGTATAAAACCGAACAGCTTACTTTCTACGCAGTAATCAAAGGGACTTCCACTGAAACCCGGCGGGCAGGTACACAAAGGACGATGGACAACTGGTCGACAGTGTGCATTCTGACCACATGCGTTTTGAGTGGTACATGGATTGACACAGTAGCTGTTGATGCAAGCTTTATCAAAGGTACAATCAGAGTCTCGTCGACACCCAACTAGAAACAGAACCATAAGTTATTAGTTTTTATAATTCACTAGATATGATTACACAACACTTTGGTAGACATTCCATCTAAAACATTTTACCACTTGTTATTCCATTTTACACTACCTATCATTAACCGTTGCCAAGGGAAATAAAAAAATAACAGTAGGCTTCTTATAACTGTATATTATAGTTGTGGTGTTTTAAATTGTAACCCTATGTTTATGTAACATACTACATAAATGTAGGTTCACTATAGTGAGTAAAAGATAATTTAAAACACCACAAATATAAAATACACTTGACCACAGTGAATATATATATATCATTGCTACATATTCTTCAAAGCCTGTATAAGTAAATGTAAGTTCACAATAGTGAGAAAAACACAACTTAAAGCACCATACTAGTTAATACTGTACTGGACATATATATACCACAAACATAAAAGTATGTTCTATGATCTGTGTGTTTGTAAGATGCATGTTTTGGTAATGGCCAACCATTTTTCCAATAAATGTCCTTGAATAATACTGGATAAAATGTTGAAATTAGTTTTCTATTTTGTTACCTCTGAGATAATTTAATGAATTATTATTATTATTATTTGGATACCTGATCCAGAGATTAGGTTAGGCCTAATACGATTCTCCTAAGCTGGCAGAGCCTCCATTTTTCTTTGGGATTACAACTAAAGTATCAACACCAAAAGTACACAAGTTATGATTCAGCGTAATATAAATCTTGTAAGTTTCAGGCCCTATTACTGCTCTATATCCTATGATATTATTGATATTCCAACCTATACTGTAGTAACTAATTCAATTTTAATACATCTGAAAGCATTTTCATGAATTCTTTTAATAGTACTTGTGAATGATCACACCAGAGACCGAAAAATCGTACTTTCTAAAACATAATTTCCTTACAGTAAAAACTGTAATTTGTAATAAAATACTTTAGTTTTAATTAAGTTGTTAACTTATTCATGTTTGGAAGTTATTAATAATAGAAAATTCTTAAAATGAAAAAAATTTACTTTGTAGTTATGATTGATAGGTGGGTTCTAACTTTAAATCAACCTTATATAATGCTCAAGATGCTTACCTATACATTTTCCATTTTCACATATCTCCCCTGGACTACAAGCTGTGTCTGCTTTACATCCCTCTTCAACGTCTGTTAATAATCAAAAGTTTTTATGAAGCCATATGATTGTGGAAAGATACCAATTTTTAAAACTAAGTAATGATTTATAGACTCTCCCCTTACAGACGCTACTATCGCTTGGGACAAATTTCTACTAACAATTCAACTTTTGATAAATATGGCAGGAAGTTTTACTCACAAACACAGATGTTATCTTTGCAGACAAAGCCACTTGGACAATCTTTACCCACTCCACACTGAGGACCTCCGTCACGGACACATCGCACCTTAGGGTCACCTCGGAAGTTGGGTGGACAGGTACACTCTGCTGCATGATTAACATCTCTACAAAGTGCTCCAATGCCACAAGCAGTTCTGGTATTGCATGGGCTTCTACAACGTCCATTAATGCATGCCTTGTCATAAGGACAATGAATATCATAACGACATCCAACTGTGAAGGAATAGGTTAAAGAACAGAATATTACACCTTAGTAAAACATTAGCCTTAACTTTACACATGAGTAGGTAACATACAGATGTATTAGTACAAACTAGTAATACATGTAAGATTAATTTAAAAAGCAGTTACTTCATTTATTTCTTTGTTATATGGCTTCAAAATGAAAAGTTATTCATTCCTGTTTCACAAAAATTTTGGGATTATTAGACTATTAATTCCTGAGAGAAACAAGTACATTAAATTCAAAGAAATCTAACCTTGTGACTACTTTTTCATATTTAGTCCCACCTCCTCCCGCTGTTGAGTGTCTGTCAGACTACGAATGCACAATTGGAAAGATCTGTGAAGCTGAACATTGTATTGGTATGTGAATCTATTTCTGTTATTACTAGTGGATTTTAATGATTTAGTAAAATAATAGTTGCTTTTATATTAACTTAAAGTTTTAATTGCAAAGATTTACAATTAAAGGGCATATGATGATTAGAAGATATTTCTTCCATGTTTGTAGACAGATGTACGAAATATCCTTAAAGCAGTCAAGTAACATAAACGAGCAGTTTTTGTAAGGACTGTATCTGTCCATCATAAGTCAAGTTTTTAAAAAGTTAACCATTTCAATGTTCAAATGTTTTATCATTTTCGTCTGGTCTTTCAACAGTCGGATGTAGAAATGATGCAAATTGTGCCTTTGACAAAGCCTGCATTGATCGACAGTGTCAAAACCCTTGTCAGTACCCTGGTGCTTGTGGCATTAATGCTCAGTGTCTGGCCATTAATCACAGACCATTGTGTTCCTGTCCAGCTGGTTTTACTGGCAATGCTAATGTCGAATGTGTAGTGCGTAAGTATTCATGTTTTTTTTAATCTAATGAACTAAAGTCGTGATGTCTAATGGCACTTGTTTTTACTACTGGATGTTTTATGTAAAATAATTAAAACTGTTGTATCATAATCCCCATTCAGTAATACATTAGTACGTTAATAGTTTAATCACCAGTTACCAGCTGTTGTATCATAATCCCCATTCAGTAATACAGTAGTACATTAATAGTTTAATCACCAGTTACCAGCTGTTGTACCATAATCCCCATTCAGTAATACAGTAGTACATTAATAGTTTAATCACCAGTTACCAGCTGTTGTACCATAATCCCCATTCAGTAATACAGTAGTACATTAATAGTTTAATCACCAGTTACCAG